AAAGTATGGCAACTATGCGAACTAATACAACAAAAACCCACCAAAAGAGAAAGACAGAAACAAGAAGCATAGAGTAAAAGACAAAGAATCCAGTCTTGAAGAAAACATAATCCAAGGCACAGAAGAAAATTCTCCACGAATGTTTTACACTAAAATATAAATTAAAAGAAAATAATAAGAACATAAATTCAGTAAAATGAAAGGTCAGACAAGATGACAAAACAACTAAATGAGAGGAAGAGATTTCAAAGCAAAGGGAATAAATTAGGGACCAAAATAATACCACTATACAAGCATTAATAAAACAGAAACATCAAGGAAAAGAATAGCTATTAAAGAAAAAAAACAATAATTTTATAATAATAACATTAATAATAAAAAATAATATTGCTTGAGATAAACATATACTATAAAGGACAAAAGCGACTAGAAAATAACAAGTACGGAGGGCAAAGATGACATAACATACAGATAACCAGTAACCTTGAAATTCAGAATCCTGCCAGGGGAAAAAAAAATGAATGTGTTCAAACATACAATTAAGACAACTTTACTGAAAGAAGGAAGAATAGATTCTGAGTCTAAAAATGCACAGTGTTTTCCAGGAAAAAAAACTGATGCAGACTCATGGACACCAAGCCACTTTTGATTAAATTACTAAACATCAATGGTAAAGAATTCTTCTGTCATCTGAGTGGTATAAAGAGAAAAAAACAGACTGACTTCGAAAGTTTCAGCAGCAGTATTTAATGCCAGAAGGCAGTTGAGCAATAGCCACAAAGTTCCGAGGAAATGAAAGCATGACCCAAGAATATTATACCCAGACAGTTTGTAATTCAAATATAAAGGCAACAGGCAAACATTATCAAGCAACTTGAACATCAATTTGCTAACAAAATTTAGCCAAAGAAGAGTTGAATCAAAATAAAGCATTCATGAATACAGAAGCGTGGTAAAATGACTGTTAGTCAATACCGAAATCCTTTACATACAGAGCTAGGACTATGCAATGTGAAAATTATATTGTAGTAACAGCACACACTATAAATGATATAAACCTCTTAGTTATGTAAAAATATTAATTAAGAACAATCTAGAATTGGGGGAAAAGTAGTTGAAGTACATAACTACTGGTTTCCTCATCTTTTACATAAGAGAAAAAACTGATGCTTTCTAAAAATAAGATATATATCTAAAGGGAAAAAAAAATAACAATTTCAATCTCTTAAAGACTTTCTGTAACTGAAGAATCTTTTGGGAAATGATCTCTCTTACATTTATCTGAAGTTCAAGAAAGTCTTTTATATTCACCTTAGTTTCTTTTTCATGTGTTAAATCCAAGTAAAATAAAATTTAAAACATTTCACTGAAAAGCACATATAATATAATCATATTTTTAGAAAATTATTTCTAAATATGTCTTTGTATCTATGCATGTGTGTACAATCATACACAAACACACATACATATGCACTATATACCCATATACACATAGATACGTGTATACATATCATATATAATACAGAGAGAGAAAGAAACGGAGTGCAATTTCTAGAATGATGTTCACCTAATATTAATTATAGGTAATTATGGATGGTGAGATTTTGAATGCTATTTTATATTCTTCTTTGTACTTTTCTGTACTGCTTATTACATTTTTTTATAATGAGTACATGTCAGTCGAAAAAGCAATAATTTCCAAACTTACTATGGGACTGGCAGAAGGACGACTGGATATTCACATGCAAAAGAATGAAGCTGAACCATCTACCTCACACTATATACAAAAAGTAACTCAAAATGGGTAAGAGACCTAAATATAAGAGCGAAAATACAAAGCCCTTAGAACAAAACATACGAGTAACTTTTAATTAGGGAAGAAGATATTTGCAAATCATATATCTGACAAGGGACTTGAATCTAGAATATATAAAGTACTCTTATAACTCAATAAAAGACAACCCAAATAAAAAATCAGCAAAGGATCTCAATAGACGTTTCTCCAAAAAATATACACAAATGTCCAATAAGTCCATGAAAAAATCCTCAGCATAGTTACCAGAAAAATGCAAATTAAAAACACAATGAGAGCTTCCCTGGTGGCGCAGTGGTTGAGACTACGCCTGCCGATGCAGGGGACACGGGTTCATGACCCGGTCCGGGAAGATCCCACATGCCGCGGAGCGGCTGGGCCCGTGAGCCATGGCCGCTGAGCCTGCGCGTCCGGAGCCCGTGCTCCGCAATGGGAGAGGCCACAACAGTGAGAGGCCCGCGTACGGAAAAAAAAAACAAAAAACAAACCCACAATGAGAAACCACTCACACTCACTATGATGGCTATTATCAAAAAAAAACAAAACAAGAAGTGTTGGTGAGGATGTGGAGAAACTGGAACACTTGTGCAATGCTGGTGAGAATGTAAAATGGTGCAGCCCTCGTGGAAAACAATATGGCAGTTGCTCAAAAAATTGAATACCACATAATCTAGCAATTCCACTTCTAGGTATATATTCAAAAGAATTGAAAGCAGGGACTCAAACAGATGTTTCTACACTAATGTTCACAGCAACATTATTCACAAGGGCCAAGAGGTGTAAATAACCCAAGCGTTCATTAATGGATGAATCGATAAACCAAATGTGGAATATGCATACAACGAAATACTGATAGCAAGGAAGGAAGGCAATTCCCTGGTGGTCCAGTGGTTAGGACTCTGCACTTTCAGTGCTGAGGGTTCAATCCCTGGTCGGGGAACTAAGATCCCACAAGCTGTGTGGCGGGTCCAAAATAAATAAATAAATAAATAAAAATAAAAAGGAAGGAAATTCTGATACATGCTATAACATGGATGAACCTTGAAGACTTTGCTAAGTGAAACAAGCCAGATGCAAAAGGACAAATATTGTATTATTCCATTTGTGTGAGGTACCTAGAGTACCTAGAGACTCAGAGACAGAAAATAGAATGATGGTTGCCAGGGGCTGAGGGGAGGAAAGAATGTGGAGTTATTGTTTAATGGATACAAGTTTCATTTGGGGAAGAGTGAAATGTTCTGGAGATGCATGGTGGTGACAGTTGCACAACAACGTCACTGTATTGATACTTAATGCACTAACTATACACTTAAAAATGGTTAAAATGGTAAATTTTCTTATGTATATTTCATCACAATTTAAAAGGTTAAAAAGTAAAATTAAAAAAGAGAAATGAGGCACTGATACATGCTACAACATGAACCTTGAAGACATTATGCTAAGTGAAAGAAGCCAGTCACAAAAGGCTGCATATCATATGACTCCATTTATACGGAATGTCCGGAATAGGCAAATCTATAGAAAGTAGGTTTAGTGGTTGCCTACAGCTGGTGGGAGGTGGAAATGGAGCAGTGACTGCTAATGGGTGTGGGGTTTCTTTTGGGGGTGATGAAAATGTTCTGGAATTAGAGAGCAGTCATGGTTGCACAACTTTGTGAATACACTAAAAACCACTGACTTGTACACTTTAAAAGGGTGAAATTTATGGTGTGTGAATTATATGTCAATAAAGCTGTTATGAAAAAACAATAAAGCTATAATTCAGAAGAGTTTAACAAAAGTAAAATTGAACAATTTGGTGGAGGGAGCACTAAGTGTTCCATGGGAAGCGGATATCAGAGCCTCAGAAGTCACAGTAAACCCAACACTCCTTCAGTGCGGCAGTATCTTGGTGAGAAGTGGTTTGGGCTATTCAGTCAACTGATCATATAAGACTCCTGAGCCAGTTTTCAAGCTGCCTTTCCAAATACATGTTTAGGAATACCGCCCCTCCCCTCAACCAAAGAATAAGAGGGTAGAGACACGGAACGGGTATCTAGTTTTGTTACACTCATGCTATTCCTTGCACATATGTTCAGATTATACACGTACATCCTTTACATCTAACACTGTGCACAGTTTGACTTCAAAACTGTATAGGAGCACAACTGTCAAAAATCAGAAATACACATCAGTCCAATCTGCACTGGGACTGCATCCTTTATTCTCTATCAGCTACGAGCACTGTTTTCAGAGCCTCTCCCTCTTTGCTAACTTTCTTGCTACGTGCAGCTCGGCCTCACGCCCGTATAAACTGACAGAGTCTCTCTCCGACAGTTTTGTGGCCAGACTGTCTGAATATTTCAGTGTATCTTGCCTTTAATCTATTTGTTTATCAAATATATATGGTGTATGTACTGTGTGCGAATCATATACTAAGTACTGGTGAAATAAAGTACTAGTACTTCGTACTGGTGTGGCCTTGTTGAGCTTATACACAGGATGGAGGAGAGAGAAAAGAAACAAATGGACCCGTAAAGGAAAATATAATTGTGAAGAACGGTGATGGCAAGGAAGGCAATGAAAAAGGCAAAGGTTAGAGAAGAACTGGGTGAATGTATATCTGCTCAGCTGGAGTGACTCTGAGATTGTGGCACTGACACTGAGACAAACGACAAGCAGCCAACCTTGCAAAGCTCATTCCAGGTGGAGGGGAGAGCAGGATTGTTTCGTTTTTGTTTTCCAGGTCACTTAAGGTGCAACTACCCACATCACTATGCACAGGACAGCTTTGGGTTACAGTCTGTCCTAAACTACGGGGAGATCACCCTCCCGGAAACAACACTTCCCTGTGTCCACTTCATTAACTTCCTATCTTTCCTATTGTATTAAAACAAAAATCTTTTCCCTACTTTTTTTTTTTTTTGCGGTACGCGGGCCTCTCACTGTCGTGGCCTCTCCCGTTGCGCAGCACAGGCTCCGGACGCGCAGGCTCAGCGGCCATGGCTCACGGGCCCAGCCGCTCCGTGGCACGTGGGATCTTCCCGGACCAGGGCACGAACCCGTGTCCCCTGAATCGACAGGCAGACTCTCAACCACTGCGCCACCAGGGAAGCCCTCCCTACTTTTTAATATTCACATCATCTAGTCGCCACAAGCTACACCCCTCCAACTGTATATCATGGACTCACAAGGACTTATAAATTACCTGGGAAAGAATCAGCTGCCCATGAAATTTGTGCACAAACTTTCTTAAAAATGAAAAATAGGTGTCATCTCCAAGTCTTCTGGCAAGGAACCGGAGAAGGAAATAGCCCTAAAAGAAAGAAAGAAGAAAAAAAAGATACTTATCACGTGTTCATCAGAAAAATGCTTACAAAGTCAACTCTAACCTACCCACCAGCACCTTATGCTCATCTAGAAAGTTTGGCTTGACCTGTCCCAGGCAGCCCTTTATATTCCTACCAGTAAGGTCGAGTCTGGTACTTGAGGATCAACTACTCTGCTTTCAACTGATCTACTAATGGTATCACCATCTTGTTTATCCTTGGCTTACATGAAGGCTGGATGTCCATCATGGACCAAAAGGGAAGAGAGGCCCAGCTCCTCTCTCCCTCAGCTATCAGGAAAGGCCTTTACTACTTAGAATACTTTTTTAAATCACTCCTATCTTCTAGGTGGAACCTGACAGCGATTTTACAATTCTGCTCTTCAAAGCTGACATGAAGCAGGGAGAAGGGAGGTGCAGGGAAGGGAACAGTTCGGCTTCCTTTGATTCATGCCTCATTATTTGGGTATGAAATGCTTTAACTATTGGACAATCAGAATCTGCTCAGTCAAATGTCATTACAACGTTGATGATTTTTTTTTGTTTTGCCCCAAGCACGTTACTAACCTTCACTGTTTATATGTAAGATCTAAAAAGTGCTGCACCATAATAACTGGCTTCTGCCACTCAGATATGCTTACCTTTAAATAATGAACCTGCATGAAGACCTTCTCCGGATTGAGCCCGTGTTTGATGACAGAAGATCCTGAGTCACTCACATGGCCAGTTTTCTCTTTATTGGGTCTAAAATGATGTAGTAAAATTTTCTTTAAGCATAGCATATTCTTAACTAATTAGACCATAATATCGCCTTATTTCTTATTTTCAGAGTTGCCCAGCAGCGTCTTAATTCTATTCAATAGTACCAGGTATAATTTAAAACAGTTTACGTTATAACTGCATATACTGAACAGGGAGGGATTTATATCTGGGTTGGCAACCCGAGGTTGGCTACTGGCAATATTCTACATCATCTTATCCAAGATTAAATCTTGCCAGACCCTCAAGGAATCTCAGCTCCAACATGAATTATTTAAGAAACTATACACTTTTCTTTTGGTGGGAATGTTGGACTGGGAAATGCAGTGGAAAATGTAGCTTTACTTGGAAGAGTAAAGAACTTATATCTTCTCCAAAAAATTCTGAAAGCCCCAATGTTATCTACTTCTCTTGATTTGCATTTAGTAATTAAGGCTCCTTTAAGAAATATTCATACTCTAAAGCCATTTTAGAGCCACAGAAACAAAACAAGAAAAGTCACAGAGGCCCATGTTTTTAGAACAGGTAGAGACATTGGTAATCACGTACTTCAACCTCCTCACTTCACAAATGAGGGAAACAGGCACACAGAAATTAAGTCTGTATCCAAGGTCTCACAGCTTGTTTTGATTCATGGCGACATTAAGGGTTGAAACCAATGATGTCTCCTTATTATCTATCAGTGGTTTCCATTATGCTCTATGGTTTTAAACATTTTTTAAAATTCCCTTAATAAAATATAATTGTGTTACAGTGACAATTCAACAACTAACTAAATTCAAAGTAAGTGACAAGGTATTTACAGCTTTTAGCTGTTCGAAAACCAGTCACTTATTGGACAAACAGTGAAGACCATGTGCTGGGGTGAGGGGAAGGCAAGGGCTGACAGAAGGGCTGGCACATCAGAAAGGCAAGGGGTTATTTTTATTTTTATTTATATATATTTAAAGATTTTTTTGATGTGGACCATTTTTAAAGTCTTTATTGAATTCGTTACAATATTGCTTCTGTTTTATGTTTTGGTTTTTTGGCCGCTTGGCATGTGGGGATCTTAGCTCCCCAACCAGGGGTCGAACCCGTACCCCCCACACTGGAAGATGAAGTCTTAACCACTGGACCACCAGGGAAGTCCCCATTTTTATTTATATATTTATTTTTTGTTGCTGCTGTTTTTAAACTTATTTGAGGTATAGTTGATTTACAATGTTGTGTTAATTTCTGCTGTACAGAAAGTGATTCAGTTATACACATATATACATTCTTTTTCACATTCTTTTCCACTATGGTTTATTACAGTATGTTGAATATAGTCCCCAATGCTATACAGTAGGACCTTGTTGTTTATCCATTCTATATATAATAGCTTGCATCTGCTAACCCCAAACTCCCAATCCATTTGTCCCCCACCACCCTCCCCCTTGGCAACCACAAGTCTGATCTACGTTGGTGAGTCTGTTTCTGTTTCATAGACAAGTTCACTTGTGTCATATTTTAGATTCTGCATATAAGTGATATCATATGGTATTTGTCTTTCTTTCTGACTTACTTCACTTAGCATGGTAATCTCTAGATCCATCCATGCTGCTGGAAATGGCATTATTTCATTCTTTTTTATGGCTGAGTAGTATTTCATTGTATATATAGCGAGGGGTTATTTTTAAAAGGTAGTGTTACAAAGTACACAGCATTTGGAATCAGAGAGACCTAGTGTTGACTCTCAATCCTACTCTTTACTACCTGTTACTTAGTAGCAGTTTACTTAAATTCTCTAATCCTCAATTTACTCACTTGCAAAAATGGGGATAACCTTACCTCTCTCCCCAGGTCACCTGGGGAATAACTGAAATAATATATGCAAAGCCCTTAGCGAGGGCTGGGGATACAGAAATTCCTCAATAAACTTAATAAAATTTTCTAAAGTTAGCAGTAAATATTGCTAAATTCAAGGTTGGTCATCTGATGTTAGAGGCAATAGATTTCAATGGTTCATCCCCTTAATCCTATATGCCCGCAGACACAAACATGGGAGGGCGCTGGACCTGAACAGCAGTGCCTGAGGATGACCCAGCTTGCCAAATCAGTCCCTTTGCAGTGTGCTCTAGCTGCCAAGCAAAGAACCCCTGATTAAGTCTCTGCTGAATGTTCTAGCACGTTATCTCAGCAGACACAGGCTCAGAACCAGCAGATACCTAAAGGAGAGACGATGACGACCAGCCACTAGAGCTAACTGCATAGTTTGAATTTTTCTAGTTGATCCCTGACTTACAGACGTGACCATACTTGCAGGAATAACTAGTTAGTCCCTTTCATCTTGATTTAAGGCTCCATTGAAAAGCATTAGCTTTATTCCCGCTCTCAAGTTTGTCCCGGAGTTGAGTGTTTTTATAAAGAAAGCCATGCTGGTTTTGATAGGAAAGCCTGCCAGACACCTTGGGGGGAGGAAGACTTCTCAGTGTCAACCTGAATTCAAACCAGTTTTCCCAGCCCCAAGACAGACAGAGCTGCTGTGAGTTTCTTTTGCCCTTGAGCTCTGAATGGAGACTGTTAGAAGGGGAGGAACACAGAAGACCAACCTAAATCTCTGCTCCAAAGGCTGGCTTCCAGGCTCGAGTTCCAGATGACGACTTTAGTTGGTGCTTTTTTCCTCTGACTAAAAATGTCCTTCCAGAAAGTGTCTCTCTCTTACTCTCCTCTTCCACCCTCTCCAAGTGTTCAAGAAAATTCTTTTACGCTGACAGCATCCAAGGCAAATGTACAAGTCCCCAAGAGATTCCTTTTAAAGTAGACATGGTACGGGAGAGGGCAGTGCCCAGGCGAGCTTCGTGAGAAATCAAAGGGGGCGGTTTTTATGAGGAAAAGATACTCCACAAGTGGAAAAAGGGTGACTTCCATTTCGGTGCTATTCTGGTTCTCATGATACCACTTACTCCATGTCTGTGCAGGGAGACAAAGCGCAGAGAGAAAGCAGGAAACAAATGAACTACCACTACCTACGATAACAGATGACTCTCACAGGTGAATGAAAGAAGTCACACCCAAAAAGACTACATACAAATGTATGACTCCAGTTAAATGAAGCCAAAGAACACGCAAAACAGATCTAGGAGGGTACAGATCAGAATAATGGTTACCTTTGGGAGAGAGTATTAACAGAGTGGGGAAAAAAGAGGAAAGTTTCTGGGATGGTGGGATTAACTCTATGTTAATCTGAGTGGTGCTTTCGTGAGGATAAATAGTAGAAATCTATTGAGCCATCTAGAAATACCTGTGCACTATACTGTACATATATTTCCATTAAAAAGTTAAGAAAAAATAGATGCACATGAAACAGTACACATTTTGTGAGAATAAAATGGAATCAGTCTAGAAAAGGGGCTTTGCTGTTCATGTGCCATGAACGCATGACTAGGGTTAACTAAGCTCTCTACACCTGAGGACCAATTAAATAAAAAACTTTTTAAGGACATTGTAAGAGGCAGGAAGAACTGTGGCAAATACAACTGGCTCAGTCTACTCCCATTCTCATCCACCTTCTTTCTTGCCACTTGTACAATTAAGTCTAAAAAGGTAAACACTCACTTTCCAGGTGTCCTTGAAGCTACAGGGAGTCAGAAGACATAGTCCAGGCCAATGAGAGAAAAACAGATGTCTGCTGTAGTTGGGAGTGGGGTTCTGGGAAAGCTTTTGCTTTCTTTACAAAAGGGGAAATATGACTAGTACTGTTCCTCTTTCCCCCAAACATGGTGGATGGAGCTGCAGCAGCCACTTTGCAATCATGAGGCAGCAAATCGACATGCTATGGAGACCCGGATGGAATGAAAGAAGGTAAACAGTCTTTGATAGTACCATTCAGCTGCTGGCCAGCCCAAGACTGCCTGCCTTCACACTCACTGTATGAGAAAAGTAACCCCTATTTGTTTGAGTCAACGTTGCTTTACTATTCTATTAGTTGAAGCCAGATTCATTCCTAATGGATGGAGAATTGAACCAATACTAATAGCTACCATTCCTGTTATCTCCCTGTGCCAGGTACTCTGCCAAGCTTTTTATGTATCATGTCATTCTACCTTCACAAGAACCTGTGGGGCAGGTACTGTGATGATGCCCATTTAAAAGTGGAGGAAAGTGAGGCCTGGAGACGACCACAAAGCTAGTTAGTGGCAGAATTGAGGCTAGAACCCGGGTCCATGGAACACCAAAGTCCTTGCTGCATTCTGGGGCTTCCCCAAGATCCAGGCCCCCCCCATCTCGGTTTTGCCAAAAACTAAGTGGAGAACCTCAGACAACATGTTTACTCTCCCTTACGCTCAATTTCCTCACCTGTAAAGAGTGTGATGAGGCTCAGATAACATAAAAGCACTTTGTAACGTAAAAGTGTTAAGTATCTCTTCAACATTTTACACCAGTGTTTATTTCCTTGGCTGGAATACATGGAATGTGAGAGATCAAGTTACCAAGGTCGTTTGGGCTTAAATGCCCTTGGTTTCTGTTGTACCTGGCACCAAATGTAACAACCGAGATTAGCATGACCTTTCCCTGCCCACCTCCTTCCTTTTCCACTGCACTCACAGAAGCAATATGGACATTTAAAAAGCTGTCAGATGGCAGTGATATTTGATCCACATGATTTGATTTGGAATCAAACCTCCTGAAGAAAGAACCGATTCTTCAGGACTATCGCCAAGGGTGGGATCTGAGAAAATGCCTCTGAAAGGTGCTCAGGCATGTCAGCCTAGTTCTGAACACCTACTGCTCTGCCACAGCCCAGACGGGCCGTCTGCCAACTTTCTCTGTCTTGTACTCCTTGGCAGTAAAAGTGAGAGCCACGAGATAGCTTCATCTATAAACTTGCCACTGTAGTGCTTGAGCCAGGGACGAAGCACCCCAGAAGTGACACAGAAAGGGATTAATCAGCATTCTCACATCCCTGCTCTAGCAGTGGCAGCTGCCCCGCAAGGTTTGAGGGTCCGGGAGCAGGGCCTCAC